TCGGTGTGCGACAGGGAAAAGGTAATTACAAGGCGAAGGAATGGAGGAACAGGAACAGGAACAGGAACAGGAGCAGGAGGAGGAGGAGGAGGAGGAGGAGGAGGACGAGGAACAGCAGCAGCAGTAACAGCAGCAGCAGCACGAGCAGGGAAGGGAGGAAGAGGAGGAGGGTTAATACCATACTATGAACCCAATGTGGTATCAACGACGCTACGATGCAGTCTCCTATTCCAAGTCCCTTCCCCACAAATCCTTGCAATACTGCCTTGCGCAACAAGGAAATTCAGGTTGAAGAACTTGCTTTTTTCTATGGGCGTGCCATTCAGGCGGGAGTTTCGTCGAAATTGAACCACCTTCCATCCGTGCAGATGTGTGTTTGCTGAAATTCGTATAAGTTTCCAGCCGGAGCCCTGTGCTGAGAAAGGGCTGTCTTCCGTCCGCGTAATTGGTGCAATCTTTTCAAGACGAATGCGCGCGGCGCTAAGGCAGGAACGGCCCTGCATCCTTGTAGCTGGTGAAGGCTCTGAGGGCGAGTGTGCGCGGCACCAGGGCGTGACCGACATTTTGAAGGCGACCTGTGCGCCTTCCTTGTAACTGCTGCAAGGGTACAGGACGACTGTGCGCGGCGCGGGGGCGATGGCCGCAATGTTGCGATTCACCCCTGCAGCTGTGTAATTGCTGCAAGCTTTTCAGGCGAGAGTGCGTGGCGGTGATCGGGGCCACCCTTTTGAAAGCAGCATCCTTCGTCCGTGTTCCTGTTGCAGGTTTCTGAATGCGAGTGTACAAGGCGCCAGCGCGGGAACCACATGTTGAAAACACCCCCTCTCCACGTGTGTATCCGTTGCAAATTTCAGATCTCAGGAGGGAAAGAAACACACAGACACAATTCATCGTCGATTCCCAGGAAAATATTGGAAAATATGGGAAGTGGGGGGGAAGACAAAAACCCAGAAAATCTTGGAAAATATGGGGGGTCCTTTTATTTGTGTGTATTTATTGGTGTGTCCCAGGGCCCCTTCAAGATCTTAGGATCATAGTTGGCGGGGGGTTACCAGGGGAAGCGCTCGGCCCGCCCTGCCGACGCGTCTGGGGGCGGGGCAGGTCGGAATGTTGAGGAGGGGGAGGGGGAGAAGGATAAGGTTTTCCTGTCATCTCCCGGGTTTCCTTCTCTTGCTCTCCTCCCTGCTCCGGTCCTGTCGCCCTCCTCGCTATCATCCCGCACGCCGTGTCTCTCGAATCCCCTCCGCTTTCCCCATCACCCTCTCTCCCCTTCCACTTCCTCTCCTTTGTTTTGTTTTCTCTCTCTCTCTCTCTCGCCCCGTCTCGTTCCGCCTCGCCCAGTCCCGTCCTGTCCTGTCCCCTTCCCCCTCCGCTCCCCTTCTCCTTTTCCATTCCCGTTTTTTTTTTCGCGACTCTGGCAGAGGGTTGCACGCCTGGTCTCCCCATTGAGTGAGCTTCATGAGGTTCGGGATACCACAAGTAGGGATCCCGCCGTCCTTCATCCATTCTTGTATAGACGAGGTGTCCATGGCCATCTCGAGTTCACGATACGCAGGGTTGTCGTTTATGACTTCCCTCACCAGCGGTAGCGCGTTGTTCTGCCCTGCTGGCCGTGCAACGCATGCATTGGAGTGCGCGGTGCGCGTGCATAGGTGGCGTGGCCGAAAACCGAACAAAGCACCTTGGCGCCCATTTGCTATTCTTTCGCGTGCCTGCCAGTATACAATTTGTATCCCATGCACTATACCTGAAGCTCCTGAGCAAAGAGTATTTGCGTCTTTCGGTTGCGTCGTCGCCCAGGCATGGTGTGTTTATATGTGCTAGCTCCCCTCTTCGTCTGTCTCACCGCACCCTTCTGCTCCCCGCTCTGCTTATCTTCCCCCACCCTTCTTCCCACCTCGCTACTCTCTTCCTACCTCTCGCTCCATTCCTACTTTTTCCAGTTCCCCTCTTTCCAGCTGGCTCCCGCTCGCGCCTCATTCACCTGCTACTCATCCTCTTCGTTTTCCTCCTCTTCCCCATTCTCCACCTCACTCGAGCTGTCGGTCTCCGTACTGCTTGCTTGTCTTAAGGTGATCCTTTTTCCGCCGCCCGCTTGGGCCGTGAGCATGGTAGGGTGGCCACCCTTTGTGCCCGTGTTAGACTGGTTTTATCCTGCGTGTTCAGCGCTTCGCTTACAATAACATCCGTTTCATAGTTGCTAGCGGTGTTCTGGCTCCTTTCTACGACCACTCGCCGCCATGCCCGCGCGGCATTTCCGCAAGTTTTTTGTTTTTCGCCTTATTCTTCATCGTCTCCATCGTGTCGGCAACGATGATCCGAGCTTTTCGCGACTATGTTGCGAGGACCTTGGGAAACGCAGGCGGATGAGAGGACGAATGAGAGTTGGAACTCAGTGGGGGTGTTGGACAACTGTGATGTCGTATCTGCGTGGGGCCGTGAAACAGGTGTGGGACTACCTGTCTAGGATCTTGGCACGCGACGCATCGCCGCACCCACCGACTCCCCTCAGACTGGCAGGACGAGATCCGGATGCGCACTCCTTTGTGCTATCGCTCAATTGGCGGTACTCAGTGAAGTAACGACGCGACGCGCAAGGGGCGCTCTCGCAATGTCGTCGTGGGGGGTCCCGAGTGCGGCGACGACCGCGACGACGCGACAGCAGACAATGCCCAATGCGCTGACGAAGAGGAACGCATTCGGGGCAGGGGCCGACGTCTTCGAGGCTCACGGCCAGAGCAAGGCCGTCGGTGGGCCTCCGGCCCCCAGCACTACCTGGACTTATGGGGGACTTCCACTCCGGATGGAGGGCCATCGGAGTGGGCATGTTTGCCCTTGCCAGCTGTCCGACCTGCGTGGTCGCAGGGGGCGGCAACGGCAGCGTGCGACACTTCCGCGCCTGGGGGCCCAAGCAGCAATCTCGTGTTCCCTTCCAACGATGGGTGCGGGAGAAATTCGTCATTGGCAGACTCGGGCCTCGACGAGTTTCGCCGGGCAGCCTGTGTCTCATCTCGTCTTACCGGCGTGGCCCGAGAAAGCGTGGGCGAGTGGCCGCCGGCTGTCTTCGTGCAGGAGGGTGCCATCAACGGCAGCTTAGTGTCACCGATGACCTCCCCGATGCGCAGTTTGGCCGAACAGTGGGGCCAATTCGGCGAAGAGGAGCTCGCCTCGGCAGTCTCGGCATGTGCGATCTTCGCTCGACTGCCGCAGGAGCGCGTGGATGACCTCTCGCGCGTGTCGACATCCCCCGCAGCCGCGCCCAGCGAGCTGGTCATTTCATGGTCGGCTACGAGGGCATTTGCTTTCGTTTGGGCGCGGTGAGCGCCGAGCGCGCACCTGACCGTGATCCCGCGGCGCTTCGGCGCGGTCTGCCAGACAAGCGCAGAACAGTTCGCGCGCGTCACGGGGCGACTGTGACGCTCTGGGCAAACTGTTCAGGGGCCGCCAGGGCATGTCGCCTCAGTGCATTCTGTCCGACGGCAAGCCTTCCTCGTGGGTGCGCCCGTGCGAGATCAGGCTTTGAGTGTCTATGACACTGCGGCCAGATCGAGCGGCGACGGCCGGGGCCCGTCAGGACTGGGGGCGGCGCAGATCCCGCGTGAGCCATCGCCGCCAGCGCATGAGGCATTCCCAACAGCTGCCCTCGATCCAGGCGCTGACGCCGACGCCATCGGTTCATTCGACGAGGGAGAGATAGCAGCCGACGGCCACGGTCTACGCGATCCCGCGGAACAGCGAGGCGCGCGCCACTTTTGGGCTTGCGAGCGCGCCGAAGCACGGTCGCGACGCCCCAGCGACCGCGAGCTCGCGCGCCGCGTCTGGAGGGCCATGGGGAGGGCGGGCAGGGGCCGCGGCAAGGGCCACCGAGCTTTCCTGGCCGAGTGGCCCGAAGATTGGGAAGGGCGAGGGTGGGGGGGATGGGGGGTTCTGGATTGGTGGCGCGGGTTCGGGCCGTTGAGGCGACCCGATGGGCCCCGGCGCGGCGGGGCTCGAATGCCGCAAGTGCGACTCAGAGGAAGACTTCGTTCGCGACTGCCCCCGGCGCCGCGGCCAAGGGCGCGATGTTCTTCGACGCCTGCGCCGCGGCGCCGCCGGCGCCCGCGCCGCCGTCTGCTCTCGGGCAGCAGGGCAGCCGAGCCAAGCTGAGCAGCAGCCCCTATCGAACGCGCATGCGTTGTGGATGATCAGGGGCTCTGCCAGCCACGGACAGACAATGTCAGCGGGCTCGGGCGCGAGCGGCCCCGCGCGGGGCGCTGATTCCCGGGGCGGCGGACAGCCTGCGCCAGATTTCCAGCGCCGCGGCCGGCAGCGGCAGCAGCCACTCCACCGGGTGCGTTGTCCGATGGGTCGCGGCAACAGGTCGGCCGCAGTCAGTGGTCGCGCTGGGCGGTCGTCGCCCAGCCTCCGCGGTGCCGAGCTGCGGCGACTGCGACGGGAGATGGGCGATCTCGCGGGCCGCGTGCCAGCCTCTGCTCAGCAGCCGGTTTCCGCAGCTGCGTTGCAGGCCCAGCCGGCAGCGGGGGGGGCATCAGCGTCTGCGCCTACAACGCCGACAGCTCCAGCAGCGCCACCTGCGCTGCCGCAGTGGACGCGCGTTGGGTATGCTGTCCCTTTTTGGACCGGGGGCGCGACTGGTTGGGCGGCCCCCGCGCTCGGGCCGCAGTTCCCGCGCCGCCTGCTGCTGGCGCGCAGCTGCCGAGTTGGGCCTGCGCGCCGTCAGTGGCCTCGCTCGGCGTCGGCACGCCTTGCGGGTCGAGTTCCACTTGGCCGCCGCGGTCGGCGGCGGCGCCAGCGCCGCCGCCGGCGCCGGGCGCCCCTCCTGGATTGGCTTTGTTCGACGCAGACAGGCCAGCGGGCGTGGGCCAACCATCGGGGGCAGTGGCCGTGTGATTTGCCGGCCGCGAGACGTGGGTGTCCGACGGCAGTCGGTCACTGCGCCTGGCGCGACGCCTCGACGAGCTCCGCGGCGCGCGGCTGGCGCTGGTAGCATTGCGGCAGCAGGCAGACCAGCGGCGCCAAGCCGCGCGGATGTGGGCCGAGACGCAGACTAGTTCTCTTCAGGTGCCGGCTGCTACTCAAGCTGCGCTTCCCGCAGCTGCTGTTTTCAACGGCGACGATTGGGGGTGATCCGTCCGTCTCGGGGCCTTCGTCCACGGCGAGAGGGTTGCGCGATTGCAGCGCCGACGCATCTTGCGCCGCGCATGCCGACGGCGGCGTGGCCCACTGCCCCGCGCGCCGCGGATCTGCCGACGTCGTCGCCTACATCTGCTTCGCCGGCGCAGATCGTGCGCGCGCTGGCCCGACACCTGCGGTGCCGGCCCGTGACGTGCTTGCGCGAGGTGCGCCGCAGGAGACGCCGCCGCTGCAGGGCGCAGCGCCTTCTCCTCGATCGGCCATCTCCAGCACCCAGGACACCATGGCAAGATCTTCTGAGACCTCCTGGCGAAGCTTCCAGTTTCGCGTCCGCGGTAGATGCGCCGGCCCTGCGACGCCTTTGGACTTAGACATGCCCCCGTGCGGGCCTGCCTCGCATGGGCCTGCGCCCCCGTGGTGGCTGACGTCGTCAGGCGCGGCCGCGAGCTCCAAGGGCGATTCGCCGTGCTGCCTGGCAGGCGCATCGTTTTCAGGCGGCCGGTTTGGCGTCGTCGCAGACGCTGGCGCCTTTGCCAATTTCTGGGGCACGCGATCCGCCCGGCATTGTGACTTGGCCAACAGTGCAGGCGAAGCTCCAAGCCTCGGTGGAGAGGTTGCATGCTCCATTCTTTGCGGCGGAAGTGGGCAGCGGGCCGCGAGTGGCTAACTTGGAAATCTACTGCCCCGTCGCCCCCGCATCGCGCGACGGTGTGGCCACTCAGCGCAGTGTGCGCGCTCCAGCCGCGGGGTGCGCTGGCGACGCTCTCCCTGCCCTGTTAGGTCTGCAATCCGCGCAGTCCACCGTCGAGGTGGTGGAGAGAGGCGTTCGCCGCAAGCGCCTCGCCTTCCTTGGACTGGGCGGCCGCGAGATCACCTGGGGCCCATGCGCGACGGATTTCGACGTGGGGTCCGCTCCGAGCGGGCGCCTTTGCACCCGGCTCGACGATTGGGGCGGGCTCCAGCCGCGCTCCAGGGGCCTGACGTCCAAGCAGTTCACGCTGCTTGCGGTGGGCAACCACGGCCAGGATCACCGCGTCGCCGACGGATTGGAATTCGACGAGCTGCAGGTCCAACATCTCGGTCCAAATGCACCGGCGCCGCCGGCTGCGACTTGTGCGCCGGCGCCAGCGCCAGTATTCAGACATGCGGTCGGGGGCGGCGTGCCGGTGTTAGCGGCGCCGGGCGCGTCGTGCACGTTGCCCCGCGCTCAAGTCTCGCGCTCTCTCAGGCGTCGACATTCTCGGCGGCGTTGTGAAGCCCGACTACCGCGGGGAGGTCAAGGCCATCGTGCATCGCAGGGCGCCTTCCACGACTCGCAAAGTAAAGTGCCTACTCGCAGACGTCCGAAACAAAAACTGGTCTTCCTCTATGTAATGTATCGTAAATCCTCCGCGGCGGATCCTGGAAATTCGCGAGAAGTTGATCTATGAGTAGTGGGGCGTGGTTGTCCAGTGCACGACGCCACCCCGC